GAATTATCCTATGTGAAAAACTTTGGATCCTGCGATTGTATAACAGTTTAATGATTTATCTATTCTTCGTTGATGTCGATCGGCTTTATCGAAAGAAAAAACATTACGCATCTATAGGACTTACTTTTGCTTTTCGATTCTTTAAATAGGATTCTACGATGAGCGTATCTTTGAAAACCGTCCCAAAAGGGTTAAGGAAATTCATTGTACTATCATTAGTAAATAAATCTAATTTTTTCTTCTTTTTTTTTTGTCTTAGTGACGAATCACGGTGAAGAGACAAAATTAGGAAACTCAGCAATTAAGCTTTAACAATTCTTTAATTCTACATTCTGCTGTGGCATCGTTCTACTCGCCAAAAAATTAGCGTTAAAAAACAACAAGAAAGAAAGGAAATCAACGATATCTCACTGTCAGAGTAAACTAAGGCTTTACAAAGATTCATTACATTTCTGTTTTTTATATCTGTTCTCTTTATTTACATCATGATTTTTCGAGCATTGCGTGCCATCTGAACCATCATACACACCTACTCACGTTTCTCGGACAATCGTTATAACGCCAATGTGACAATCGATACGTTCATTGGTCGGATCGATGATCCGCCATTGCGCGGGAAATTCGAAGAGCTCGGACAGCACAGGCCACCGCTGTAACAAAAACGACCATGCTCGAAAGACTGGCGCCGTCTGTGTCGTTAAAGTCTTTCGATTAATCGCCCTTCATAATTATTAGATGAGGAACAAACGATCTTCGACTATACGTGATTTCGATATATCGCGAGTGCTACTGATGATATCGATAATAGCTGCCACTAATCTTCGTTACTGAAATAAATTTTATTATTGTAACACAGATACTTAAATTACAAGTGAAATGTGAAAAGACGTAATTAAAAGTTTATTTGTAATGATCACATAAAGGCTACAGAAAAATTGAAAGTAAAAGTTTAAACTATGAAGATGTTGAGAATTATTGGTAAGAAATTTAACGATTACCTGAAACATTTTGGTGTACCGTTTTACGATTACTACGAAGAGTAGTTGTACGTTTTCGTAAAAAAGCACAGGCATCGAGGTCTTAGGCACATGTATTGTTTGCTCACGTATCGCTGTTGATTCGTTTTCAATATCGCCAAATGCTTTCGAGCGTGCTCCAATCGCTAAGCACAGTGCTGAATTTGTAAGGTTATATTTACTTTTCGAAAAGATCTCAGTAAAAATTTAATAAATTAAATTGATTTTCAATCCCTTGACAACGAAATCAGTGCATCATTTTTTAAGATCATATACTATTTATATCATAGATTTATACAAATTATTTATAAATAATAAACATTATTAATAATAATTAAATTATTTCTTTCTTATAAGGAAGAGTAGTACCATAGTTATAGCTCTTCCATAGTTTAACATATGAAACACTACTGAACTAGATAGAAACTTTTCGTAGAAGGGATCAACTATACACTTTGTTCTCCAACAGGATTTTCTGAACGAGTATCGGATTCATCGAATTACTATTAAAACGCGTCGAACAGAATTCCTTTTAAGTACTACTTTCAACACTGTCCGATTCTCTAGATCTCTTTAACGTACACATTTACAAGCAAGCTCTGATCGATTGCCACTTCTCCATCAATTAGAATGTTTTCTGCCGTATTTCATATATCAACTAAATCACTATGCTTTGCGTATTATTCACTTTAAATTAATTATTATTAATATCAGTAGTAATATTATTATTATTCCTTGCTTCATGACCACGATCGACTCGTTTATTCGTGTAGTACATATCTCATAACCGTCTACGGTTGAGGTTATTTATCAGTAATCCTGCCACTCGATAATTTCCTATTTTTCCGATATATTCGATATAATCGACGTGCACCTTCGATGGTTAGTTTCTCTATAGTGTTTCTATTCTTATTTTTGGGTATTACCATCTATATAGCATCCTTTTTCACGTTACGTCGAGAACAGCGACATCGATCGATTGTCATACATCAGTGGCGCTACATACGGAAATCATTTCGAAAGCAATGAAAGGCACTATTTAGACGTTACGTGGACACAGGTAGCGCCGATAATAGTCATAACATGGCACGGTACTTCCGCAGCTCGTATTACAGCAAATTTGTTGCCGTTCGCGTGCTATTGTGGATCCTCCCATCCGCGAAGTTTCACGTGATTATGATATGCTGAACCTCGTTTCGATAATACTGTCCTGCATCAAAATCCTCCCCATGCAATAACCGTACCGGTAACGTTTCCAGGCAATTTGACGCTTAAACTTGTCAGCGATATTTTTTTCACGTCAGTCACCATTAGCAGTAGTCGAGCAGTTCGTTAGGTAAGTGTCTAATAAGATTTAGTTAAACAGAGAGCTTGTCCATTTGGACGTATTCTCTATAGCGAATGGAATTCTCAAGGAGGAAACTTTGAATGGATGAAGAAAATGGGCGTTTATTAAGTGGGAATGATTTTTATGTAAAAATGGTGAGCGTAAAGTATTCAAAGTCCCACTGTCAGTCATGTTTCTAAATTAAAGTCTTTACTTCCACTCTTCTTTAAATCGTACACTGGTCAGTTGGTTAAGAAGAAAATGGAAAAGTATCGATAACTTTAAATAAGTGAGTTAAAAAGTAACGCTGTATTTCAGTGATATATCGTTATATAGAACTTATAACCTCAACATTCGTTTAAACTGTTCACGTTATTATTATTCCATCTAAATTTTTCAATCCGGACACTTCACTTAAGACCTACGTAAAACTAGACAAACAAAAGTTGATACGGTACACGAAATGTCATAAAAAGTAAAAGAACTAACAACACTCGTTCTTCGTACATACAAGCGTCTGGTCGTAGCTTCTCGATCGATGCCGGGCTCGCGGCGATTTTTCTTCCTCTCTCATTTAAACAGTGAACCCTCTTAATTTTTCACATTAAAGTTTCTTTAAGTACAATGCTGCAATAATAACATGATTCGAACTATCGATACAATCGTTTATGATAATTGGTCCTGAACAAATGATAGAACCAAGTTTGGTTAAGTGTTTAGTGATCATGTGTGTTCTGAAGCATTATCCGAGCGCGCACGATAAAAAGACCAGATCCCGGATTTCGATCTCAGGAAAAAGATTTCGACGCCGGGACCCGGGATGGAACTCGAATGACATATCTAAGTATCTGCGTTCTCTACGTTACGACTACACTTACACACCTCTACGCTACACTTTCTACGTTATTTTGCAATGATCGATTTTATGTAGATTAACGACTGCTTTTCTACGCTGCACGTGTGAATTGATGCGTACCACTTTGCCGACTGAAACGCTGCTATTAACGGTGCCATGAACTATCGAACTATCGGTAGATAATCAAACCGCTGTTACATTTGCGATTTCATAAACTATCGCTAGAGTGGTTTCTGCAATATTTTCTCAGCGTTTCATGTGGGTACTCTCTACAGATTATGATTGGATCGTGTATGCAAGTATGAGACGTACGCGTTTTAGTTGTTCTAAAAAAATATAAGGACGAAGGAATGCAAGATTTATGTTAATGCGTGACATACTTGTTGAATACTCATCGCTTTGTCGGCAAAGTTATATATGGTATACGTTCTGTTGAGTGGCTTAACGTACTTTTCTTTCTCGACTACATAGATACTCTGATCGGCGATCGTATTCTGGCATCGAGTCTTCGAACAACTCTCTGACGGGTCGTGAAGAAGAAACTAAATAAACGAAACGGTGATATCTTTGATCCCAGTTTCGTTTTTCGTCGTATTAAATTTACTAAAGGTACGTTAATATAATAAACATTATTACATTCAGTTTAAATTAACCAAACGACTAAATTATCAAGTGGTGTATATGATAAACAAACGGAGGCTCGTAGTGAATCTACTCTTAACACGAATTTATATACATTTTTTAACCAAAAAAGTTCTATTCCTTTTTCTCTCGGCTCGTAATGTACAGGGAATCAACGAAATTAAGAAAAGTATTTGTTATTCGTGGAATCAATAGTGCACGTTATATCTTGCATTTGGTAAGCTGGTATTGCTCAAAGCATAATGCAGTTGACGCTCGATCGTAGAGAATAGTGTATCTTGCTTAAACTTCAAGCAACACTAGCTCGGCTCTTACGTTAAATGTCATCAGTAACAATCGATAATTCGTTCGGGTCCTCGTACTATAGTTCGTATGATATAACAGATATATAGTAGGTAAATGTATCACTGGAATAGCTTCGTGAGGCTGGAAATGCACGGATAAAGATTCCGTGTCCCGTTTCAAGGAAATTTTTAGATTGATATCGGTCTTCGTGTGGCTTTTTTTCCTTTTTTTTTTTTTTTACATAATACATATCCTATCTCGAACTTTCGAACGGGTGTAACGCACGTAGGATTTTGTAACGACCATTCAAATCATAATCTTTAAATACACCTGACACTCTCTTCACGATACATCATTCTCTTTTTTCTTTTTATGTATAATTAACGTTATTACTAGTGTCATTATTAGTTAGTGATATCGTTACATGATTATTACAACTCGATTGCGTGCAATTATTTATTTTTTTTTTATCACTTTGTTGCTGTCATTGCGCGAAACGTTGAATACACGTACTACGCTAAACGAATAGTAAATAAAGAAACATCGAATCGCATGAAAATCGAACGTTCTCTAGTTTCTATGGTGATGACGTTAACTCGAATGAACTTATTGTATGATTATCGAGATATGGAGTGTTTCTGAAATTTTTCACGGCATGATATTTACAAAGTGTTTTCTCT